AGAGTGGAGAGCAGAAAAGGCCAATCTACTGAAATCCACTGCTGTGGGGAGCAGCGGGTGAGTCAGGAGAGGTCTGCTGTGCCATGTGGGTTGCTCCCTGGCCAGCTGGGGATCAAACTCATGCTGCAGAGGCTGCGGATTGCTTCATAGTGCTGTGCTTAACCCCTTGTGCCACCAGGGAGGCCCCAGGTGTGTTTCATTATTATCAACCTGTGTGCATATGTACTATCCAATCTAAGCAGTCTAAGGATGATGGTATGGATTCCTAAGGCAAGAGCTAGAGAGATTTCTAGAGAACCAACCTTTAAGAATGGAGACCTGCCCCCATTTACCTATCAACATTGAGCAGGGAAACCACATAGGAAATCTTTGAAATGTATAATGAAATATTAGATCATTTCTCAGCACTTTCTTTTTTAATTAACTTAAAGTGACCTTAAACTTATTAGCAATGAAATCATTGAATAAAAAGATTTGCATATTTGTTTTAGGAAATCAAAAAGACTGAGAATATGATGAGTACTTCTAAGACCTCAATTTCCAGAATTATGTTCCTAATCTACTGTTGCATTAGAATCACCTGGTTACCCAATAAAAGGAATCAGAATGCGAGTGACATGACTGAAATACAATTTTTGTTAGGAATTAATGTGACTGTAAGGTAAACTAGCACTTTAAACACTCCCTTAATTTTGCAGTGAAGAAGGGCCTCCCTGGTGGCACAGCAGGTTGAGCACAGCACTGTGAGGCTGTCCGCAGCACGGGATCCATTCCCAGCCGACCAGGGAGCAACCCACATGGTGCGCGGCAGACCTCTTCTGCTGCGCCTGCTGCTCCCCTCAGCAGTGCTTTCGGTCTGTCTGCCTGTTCTGTTCCCTGCTTTGTCTCTGGTGAATCCTCTCACCCCTGCACCTCTGGCCTGTACCCTGGTTCTTGTATAAATAAATAAGTCTTAAAAAAAAAAAAGGGGGCAAGTAGGAATTAATGAGGAAAGTACAACCTTGTGATGATTAATTTCATATGTCAACTTGACTGGGCCATGGTGCCCAGCTAAATGGTCAAACATTATTCCAAATATTGGAATAATATTTTCTGTAATAATATTTTTGGATAACACACACTTCTAAGTCAGTGGGCTGTGTGTAAAGCAGATTGCTCTCCACAGTGTAGGTGGGCCTTGTCTAATCAGTTGAAGCTCTTTCTACAACACAAGGCTGACTCCCAACAAGAGGCAATTCTGCCAGCAGACAGCCTTTGGACTTCTTCTGCACCATCACCTCTTCCTGGTTCACCAGCAGATTGCCTATATACCAGAAGTGCAATTCCTTTCAAAGTCTCCAGTCTTCTGGCCTCCCCTCTCAGATTTTGGACTCGTTTGACATCACATTCACATGAGCCAATTCCCTAAAATAAACCTCCTTAATTGACAAGTATTAATTAAGGAGATATATTTTATTATACTTTCAAGGTATTATAAATATAAATTATAAATATAACTACATAGACATTATAAATATATATTATAAATATAGAAATATATAATTGTTATATATCATTTAAATATTCAATTATATATTATAAATAATACATAAGGGTATTATAATTCTATAACAGCTAATAAATATATAATTGCATAAAATATATTTATATTGTAAATATACTATATAATATATATAAAAATATATAAAATACATAAATATATTACATTTATCTTTTATTTATATATTTATATTTAAATATATATAAACATATAATTATGTTATTATAATGTTATTATGTTATTATAAAGATATATAAACATATAATTATATATATATATATATATATATATATAGGATCTGTTACTACAAAACCCTAACACAAACTTCTCAATCTTGAGAATATAGTCCATGGAACCTAGTATGGATATAAAGAAGGCTTAAGGTAAGGTCCACGCCAGCACAGACCCCGTGTGCCTCCCTGACACTCATTATTAAGATAATCAAGAACTCATCAAACGGGCCCTAACAACAAAGGCAGTTTTCAAAAAAAAAAAGCTCCTCATGGTGTTCAGGAAACATCTAAAAGGACCCTCCTCAGCTTCTGCAGTGTCCAAGAACAGTGAGCTGGCGCTGAATCACCCACCACCCGTCACCCCAACTGTGAAATACCCTTCGGCCAAAGTGTGTCTGACAGAAAAGGAATGGGCTCTGCTACCAAATGAGAACAGCGTGGAAATAACAAAATTGTTTTATTTTTGATGGATGCTCTAATAAAAAGACAAAATGATTAGAAACAATGAAATTTAAGCTATCAAAGATAGCCCTTTTGTTTTCTACTGTGGATTACAGTGGGCGGAAGGTTGGGCTCTACAGGAAACACAGGAAATGGTAAAAAGAAACACAGTAACGACTGTATCATTGGTCGCAAACCACTGCTAAGTCACCGCAGCAGCTCTGACAAAGATCACAAGAAGTCACAGGAACTCAAGCAGACACAGCAGATGACCTGCCTCTCATTCCCACAACAACCATTTGTGAACTGTAGACCTGGCTCCCACATGTTCTTTCAAGAGAACAAATGAAGTGAATGGATATGGTCATTCCATCCTGATCATCTCCTTGGTCACCAGAGGTAACTCCAATGGCTCAGGTAATAGGATGGACCACAGTCTCCTGAAGTTCACTGAAGGTAAATCAATGCAGGTGTTGACAGGTCCACAAGAGAGGCTGTAGATTTGCAAATAGAATTGCTTTTATTTTGATAGATGCTCTAATAAAAAGATATAAAATGATGAGACATGATAAAATTAAAGAGCCCTTTTTGTTTTGTCCTGTGGGGTAGATTCCTGTGGTGGGTAATTCGAAGCAGCCTGTGTGGGTGTGGGAAGGGAGGCAGTGTGGTATCAGGGCAGGCCCTGGGGGCCTGTCTTAGGAGTTGGTTCCCAGAATGCAGGGTGCTTCCCCTGAGCTACTGCTGAGGTTAGCATCAACTCTTCCCTAAGCCTTTGGAGTCTTTCTTTCTTCCTCAGAAAACAAAGCATCAGATTGCTTGGCAAGGTTTGCCAAGTTACCTGCCAGGTGCTAACATCTTCTACCTACTGCCTTTCCAATGAGTCAATTCTAAACCCCGGGCAGAGCCTCAACACAGGAGTGTTCCTGGGCACAAGGCTGACGTGGGGTTGGCGACACCAACATGCACATGCTGAGGTGACATGGTGATGCTTTGTGGGTGAAAATTCCCCCCAGAAGCACCATCCACTGTAACACAAGCTCCAAGGAAACAGCTCCTTGTCAGTCAGAATCCTGAGACCAGACATCCAGCCCCATGGCAGACTTGTCTACCTTGCCAGGACTCTCATGGGGGGTCCGGGTCAGGCCTCACCATTATTCACTGGAAGAGCGAGAGTGTGTTGGGGAAGACCCGAGTGTCTCCTCACTGCAGCCGCACCTCCCTCAGCCTCTCTTCTGGAAACTGTCACATAAGCCCCCCTGCTTCTCGTCATTTCTTCAGCTAGCGTAACCCTCCGGAGCTTTGACTGTCCTAGAAAAACAGGCAACATCCTTTCCTTTTCTTTTGTTTCCTACAAAATGAGTTGATAAATGAAACCTCCCCTCCGGAGAGAGAACAGGCGTCCAACTTGGCTGAGACTCAGGATGTGTCTTACCTGGCTGGGCAAAGACATCTCAGGCCTCACCTGGCCTCACTCCCGTCTCCGCTCACCCCAGGGGACTTAGTTTGGTTTCAACTTACATTTGTGTCCCTTTTCAAAGATTTAACAGAAAAATTGTTATTTTTTGCTCCTTCTGAAGTTCCTGGCTGCGTTCTGCCTCTTACAGGGGGTCTCTGGCGGGGAAAGGGTATTACTGGGTCCCTGCAACATGACACCCAGGACACCAACGTCAAGGGTTTTCCAAGACGACATGAGCCGTCTCCTCCAAACACCCCACGTCCGCTGGTGCCATTCCTGCCCCTGTCCCAGCTCACGCCGCTCTCCCCACGCGCTGACAGGCCCGCAAGGAATTGCAGTCGGAAGGTTCACCTGGGTGACCTTGTCGTCTGTCCCAAAGAAACCATGTTCTTTTGGGATTCAGGGTTGAGTTCATGTTGCTGAACATGAACTTGGATGGGCAGATGCTTAGAAATGGGAAGAGAGGAGGGGAGGGGCGTGCAGCAGACAGACAGAGCAGGGGCGAATGGGAGGAGGGCCCGGACAGAGCAGTGCCAGGCAGTGGAGAGAACGCCTGTCGTGGCCCACTCAGGGGCCCTGGAATCCACCTGCCAACTCTGCTTTTAGGGAGTCCTATCCAGGTGGAGAGGGGCCGCCATGGCACTGGGGTCCTTTGCTGGTCTGACCCCTGGTCCCCGTCAGTCCCCAGAAAACACAGATGAGGGACCTCACTCTGCCCCTGCTCTGTGCCCTGGGGCCTGAGCTACTGAAGCAAAGGGGACAGGCCCCGACTTTCCCGTGGCCTAATGACACTGGTCCCCAAGGTCAAAGGGCCGTGAGTCAGCCTTCTCCTTCCCAGGGTCAGCCTGCCTCTCATCCCATCACTTCTCTTAGGTTTCTTTTCCTTCTGGAACTCTGGTACCAGTGCCAGGGAAGCGCGAAGCCCGGGCGGTGGGGGAGGGGGGTGTGCCATAACCAGGGAGAAAAAGACTCTGGGCTTACTTTTCATTGGTCTTAATTCAGCTTCCAGCTAGAAAAATCACTTCTCTTCACAAAATCCCTACGTCATACCAAAGTAAGATCTAGCCCTGACAGGTTTATTATAATGACGTGAAAAGCTCTGTGGAGGTTCGCATAGCTACGTGGTGTGTGCTAGCGCAGAATCAAACTAGGAGCCCAGGAAACCTTTCCAGCCAATGCACCTGCCCTCGCCCCGTCCACCCTTGCCTCACCTATGTCTGACGAAACACACACACACACACACACACACACACGGAATGTCGATACACACACATTTCTGTAAGCACATTTGTGGAAACACACGTATTTAAGGCGACCAGGTGTCCCTCACCTCGGATGGCTTCGTGGTGCATTTCCCTTTTCCAGAACACTCCAAGTCACCGGCACGGCTCTCCCGTGGAACGCAGTTGCTGGCCTTCACCACCAGTGTCAAGCGCAAAGCCACAATAGACTTGGTGAGAGAATCATTCACAAAACCTAAAAGAAAATGAGACGAGAAGAGGTGTCCAGTCAGGCTTTACCGACATCCTTTCCTCAGAGCTGAATCTGGCAAACAAAACACAACGTGGTAATTTAGGCAAGAACCAAGCACGACCTAATGGCCTTTCGGACCTGGTCCTTTGGCTGGGCCGCACCCCCTGAGCATCGTGAGAAGCACCCATGGCCAGGAAGAGGCAGCCAGGCCTCTGTCGTCCGCCTCGGTCCTTCTGCTTCGTTTCTGTCCTTGCACCCAGTGGTCACTTGGTGTTGTGCAACCCGCCAGGCCAGGCAGCTCAGTGCTAATTTGGGCAGTTGAAGAGAATTTGGGAGCCTTCGGTATCTCTCACATGCCTTTAATGCTGAATCGGGAGACTGGGCTCACAGGCAGAGCAGCAGGCAGAAAGGCGGGCAGCAACTGGGCCCCCAGCCCCCTGAAATCTCCCCTCTATCCTCTGCTTCTTGACCCAGGTGTCTGCATGTACATATGCACACAGCCATGCTCTCTGGCTTCCAGGCAGCGTCTGTAACCACAGCCGTGCACACCCCATGCACGTGCTCACAAGCGCTGTTGTACAGCACAACAGCACATGGGGGTAATGAACCTGGGAGGAAACGAAGGTCTCAGGAGCAGCTGTAGAGGCTGGTGGCAGGAGGCAACAAAGAGCCTGAGTACCCCATGTTCCCCCATTTGGTATCTCAGTTCCATGGAATTCATTCCACTAGCACCTTAGAACGCACTCTGCTCTTGAATCCATCTTGTCCCAGGGAGCCACTTGCCAGTGTCTCCCAACTTCTCCTCCTGGTGCTCTGGGTTGTGACACACACACACACACACACACACACACACACACACCCCAAGGCTGCACCTGTTACCAGCTCCCTGCGCCCTCACAGACAGGCATGCAATACACTTCCCATTCTGTGCTGGTCTGGGCTTGTATCAACTTTAGTTATATAGCTTCAACCATCTAATAAAACAGGTACAATCATAACTGCATTTTGATATCATTGATTTTGATATCACTGAAGGAAGGAACTTCATGGTTAGTGCAACAGCTCAGTTTGTGGTCAGCCTTACCAGAGAAATGGAACCTGGGGGACTGTTAGTACCCCACCAGAGCCTGGACCCTAAAAGGCATTTGTACACATAAAATAATGTTGGTAAAGCCAAGAAGCAGCAATTATAAAAGTATTTTTCAAACCTTGGCTTTGTTCCTCTCTATTTTCACATTTAATTATTTTTTAAATCTATAACATCTGCCCATTTAACTAAGCAGGTACACCACATAATGCACCATAATTCCATAGGTCTCTCTGTAAAGGTTACTTTAAAAATTCTATTCGACCATTAAATTTACTTAGCTGGTAAGAAATCACAGGAATGAGTAGTTTAAAATAGATGCGATATAGTTTATTTGCTTCCATTTCCTCAGTGAACATTCTCCCTGCTCACATCCACACGCCACACACTGGGTCAGATGCTCAGGCTGTGTAGCGGCAGGATGAGCACAGGGCAGGCTCTCCATGACCTAGCAGACAGGTGAAGGAGAGGAGTCCTGGAGCCCTTGGTGGCTTTTTGCAGGCTTTTATTGGGATTTACCAAGTACACAGCAGGCAGAGGGGCAGGGGGGCCAGGAGGCTGGCAGGCCTCCCGGCCCCCAGCAAGTCTTCACTCTTCCTGGGCTCTCCGGCCTTCTCTTGTGGCCTTGCTTCTCTGCTGGTTGTTCTGTTCTGCTCTGCTCTCTGGCTTCTCCTTTGCTCCGTTATTCCTCTGGCGTCCCCGTGATGCCACCCTTATAAGCCCAGTCTCTCCACCCAGGTGTACCCACTTGCATAGGCCCACACCAAACTCCAGGTGCCCACCGTCAGGCATGCCCTCAGGACCACAGGGATCCATCATCCATCCTAATGGCGGGAGGGCAGAAAAGCCTGATACTGTCTTACCTTACCCTACAGGCTACAAGGACAGATCCCCTACCAGCTTCTGCCACTCCAAACTTGCAGTCCAGAGCGGTGACCCTTAACTAGTTTTGAAACCAGACACTTCACACAATTTTTTAGGGGATTTTTCCCACGATAATCCCAGACTCCACACAGGAGATTGAGAACCAGGAGTCTGGGTGGGCTGCTGGCAGGCCTGCTTTTGAAAGAGTTTCCCTAAGTAATTCAAACATGTGCTTCCAATAAGAACCACCACTCTGGTGGAAAAACAAATCTAAGTCTTAACAGGTAATGCTGTGATTAAGGTAACAACCACCCTGAGTTAGAGGCGCACAGGTAAGCCTCTGCAAGCCCTTTTTTTCCAAGCTGTTTTTGAAAGTACAGGTGACTGTGTGATGTTTAGACAATATTTATGTTCCCAGCTCATCACAGGTCTCTAAAGATTTTGGAGACACCTCCCAAAAAAGTTTTCTAAATTAGTTTTACTTGCCCAACAAGACTGGGAGCAGCGGTCCTCAATCCCCTCAGTAAACTCAGAATGAATCACATTACTCTACGAGTCCCATCATGTCACCCAGACCCCCAAACAGGGTGATAACAGCTCACACGGGTGAGAAGTGTGCCTGGCAGTTCCGGCCAGGTAAAGTGTCATTCCAGAACGTTCTTTGTACCTTGTCTAAAGAGAAATGTTCAGAGTTCTCGCGATGAAAAATAATTCTAATTTAATTTCCCTCAAACTGCAGCCCTCAGGAACCCCACAGGCCATGAGCAGGTGGCGCCCTTCACCATGGGCACCCAGAAGGTGTGAAATAAGAGAGAATTCTTTTCTTTCTAAGTTCCTGGGGGCTTTATAAGTGCTCATCTGAGAGCTGTTGAAAAGCCAGTGTGATTTCTTCATCCCAGCACCCCAGCTGATGGGCACTTGTGACTTAGGGAGCAGGCAGAGCCAGTGGTCACTCATTTCCCTTTCTTAAAGGTATAAAATCAGTGCAGGCATCATAATTCCTGGGAAGGACCTGGCTAGAAAGGCTCTTTGTCATAGTCAGAATTCTACGATCTTGGGTTAATTGAGCAACTGGAGACAAAAGCTGGTAACGCCGACTGAAAGAGAAACTGTCGCCCACACAGAGCTGTTGACAACGGGCTTCCCTGCCCTTTCCAAGCTCTTTTTAGAGACCAAAGGGCTGGTGCACAGGAGGCAATGAAGCTGCTCCAGTCTAAGGTTAGTCTGAATTAAAAGCAAGAAAGAGCAAGTCCATTTAAAAAAAAAAAAAAGTGGAGGGAAACAAAAGGAAGGAGAGAGAGCTGGAGGCTGGGCAGGGAAAGGAGAAGCAAACCAAAGCACAAGAAGAAACCATGAGTCAGAAGAAAATAAGAGAAACAGAGAAAAGAAAATGAACCTCCCTGTTGGAAGGTTTGGGGTCTCTCACACCCTTTTTACAGAAGGACATTTCATCATCTCATTTTCCTTGGCTTTTTAGCCTTTATCATCCTCCAGCCAACTGCAACAAATGTAAAATTAGAGACCTTTTATGTTTTCCATGAATAAACATGATTTAGATCATAATTGTGTGTAATCCAAGCCTGTGATTCTGATTATGAGGCTGAAATACAGGGTCACGCCAATGGCAGATCATGTAGTCCGTGTGAATAAACTGGGCAGGGAAGCTGGGAATGTAGGGAGATTGAGCTCACTTGTTTGACCTTCAGGAGATGCTCCCTGAGCCCCAAGAAGGAGCAGGTTGAGCCCTGAAGTCTCCATATGTCAATGGCTAGCACCTTGACAAGAACAGAGAGGCAGGAGGGATCAGTCACTGGGGGTCCTATGAACCTGAGTAAAGATCTGGATCTCACACCAAGTGCAATAGAAATCCATTGAGTAAGGTTAAGCAGGGGACTAACACAAGATGCACGCTCTCAAGGATCACATCTTGGGTGGAGAACCAACAAAAATTTGTATTTGGACATGGGATGTGAGAGAAAGGAAGCTATCTCACATGGAGAGTAGGGACAGCCAAGCAGGTGGTTGTGGCGGTGGCCGCAGGCAAGTAAATTGAGTTCCTACTGTGAATATATTACTTTTGATAATCTGATGAGCCCCCAAGTGGAGCAGTCAGGTTAGTGATCATACATAGTACATGGTAGTTTGAAACATCATGGCTGAAGATTTAAATGTGGTTCTCATCTAATGGGGGTATTATTGCTTTGAGACAGAATGTGCACTTGGGGGCATGGGAGGCATCCAGCACCAAGTTCTACAGACCAATATTATGATGAGACAGAATCCTGCTAGCAAAATCAACAAAAACAAATAACTATATGATTTCTCCACAGTGGAGCTGCTAAGAAGAGACTGGATTTCTGCAGCATGAAGGGTATGCAGAACTACAAGATGGCGGGACTTGGACAACTACAAGATGGCGGATTTTGACAACAGATCTCAAAGGGGTACACTGTGGTTCATGACAAAGAAAAAGTCCCAAGGACTCTGCACACTTGAATGCTACATTGGGATGCTGGGGAAGTAAGAGAAAAGGCAGGGATGGAGAGAGGGAGGAGGAAAAAAGATCCCTGCATTTCAGAGACTACTTTCTCCTCACTACACAGCTGGGTAATTTCCCTAATGAGTTTTAAAACTCTAATGAAGGAAAACTTTCTCCAAAGATTACCCAGGGATCTGTTAACACCCTCAAGTAACTAGTTACGATGACAAATAAAAGTCAGAATTCTTTCTGCTTCCCCTCTCCGGCTCCCCTCCTTGCCTACTCCCCTCAGGCTCTACAAAGGCCCACAAGCTGCCCTGCCCACAACCCCACACTGTGCTCATTAACACGGCAATAAAATGTTCTGCCATCATTACAGTCCTTTTAAAACAGGGACTTTGCCAAACTCACCTCCCTCGGTGCCCATGAGAAGCTGAGAGCAACTGAGCGGGGTCCAGTCACCGTCGCGCAAATGGAGGAGGGCCGAGCAGCGGTTCCAAGGCCCAAGATGGCTGGCTCCAGGCAATTAACTGTTTATTTTACTTGTCTCCTTTAATATTAACACTAAAGAGT